CCACCCCTTCCTCCATCTGCTGTGCAGGGGCTGGGGAGGGTGAGCAGGATGCTCACGTGCTAGCACCCGAGCCAAAGCCCTAAGGACCACGCTGGCTGTGAGGGGGGGCCCCGTGTCCTGCCTTCCCTCCTGGCTGTACTGACCCTCTCCTTTCATCCGCACATGCACGCCGGTCTCCCTGAGGAGCACGCAGGACCAGCGTGGATGCAGAACGGGCTGCTGTGCGCTGCAGGGAGGGCAGCAAGAGACCAAAACCAGCAGGAAAGAACTCAGTCCCTGACTGCCGCTTACTCAGGGCTGACACAGTAGGTTTGTTTCTTGGGTCCCCAGGAGACCTGGGGTTTCCTGGAGGTACACCCTCCTAAGGCTTGCGCCTCACAGCTACCGGCCTAGGGAGAAAAAAGCTGGTCAGAAAAGAAAGGTTCTTCCTGAAGGTGGAGGAAAGAAGGGATTTGAATTTCATTTCATGCCACCGTCGGGGCAGACTGTGGATTTTTGTGTTGAATGAAAGAACACAAAAAGAAAATGTAGGGACCTAACACACTCTGAATGGTCTTGGATGAGACCCATGGTTAGGGCCATGGTTACTGCGGTGGGGAGCAAAACTGCACAAATTAACACATTGCTCGTAGCGAAGGTGATCGAAAGTGCTGGGTGATTTGCAAGCACCACATTGCACACCCTGCGGATCCATTTTCTGAAGAATATCTGCTGTGTCTGAAATTTTCTGTGAGATACATGAGTTCACTATAAAACATCTCTGCTGATCGGCAGTCTGATAAACCACTACCCAAGCATCCGCCTTGCTTTTCTCCTCCTCATTAAAGATTACTGGTGCACCAAAAATAATTTAGAGCTGCTGTAACAAGCAGACAGTTCTGAGTGTCAGATGTGGTTAGATAGTTACTATTTGAATAATGACAATAATTTTTCTTTGTAAAGGAAAAAGCACACAACATGACAGCTGAACCAAAAAGAAGAACTAAATCTAAGGCAGGCAAGTTGATAACATTCAAGACAAGAGCTACACGTCCATTATTTGTATATGGAAAGAGCCTAACACCATACTTGACACTCAATCTCTACAAGGCACTTCTAGATCGTGTCGCGTCTGAGTGCTTTAGAGTCTGTGATGCATTTATCCTCCTATTGCTCTTGTCACACGATCCTCGTATCTCTGTGTCACAGATGGGGAACTGTGGCACATGGCAGCTGAGCGGCTTCCCCAGGGCTACGCAGGAAACCTCTGGCTCTGCAGCATGAGCATGGGCAGTCCCGGGCACGACCAGTGCCCCAGGCCCTGCGTCACCCTCTTTCTTGATCCTGCCCCACCAAGGGATTTTGGATGGTGCTGCAAATAACTATTTTTTTTAACTGGGTTTGCGATTTAAATAGCTAATCTGATTGCTTTGAAGGTCCTGGAAGAACTGAGTTCTATTTGTCAACATATTTCTGTGGTTGTTTGTGTAACTTTTACCATTGGTGGTTTTGGTTATGAACAATATTAAGACGAGACCTTGGCTGAAACATGCTGAGCACTCTCTCATCCTATGGCTTTCACTTGCATTTGAAGCTAATCACTCCTTGCCAGCATTAGCCTGGACACCAGGTGGGTCCTGAAGGATCTCCCAACCATTGTTTATCTTCATTCCCAAAGTATTTCCAACAGTAATGAATCTCTGAGGCAGAGGTGTGTAACAAAGGTTTCTCTGACAATTTTTCATGAATAGTCCCTTCCTCTGGGGATTCACCTTTACACTGTTTGATATGAAAAAGTTACGGATATATATTTTTTTTGACAGAGAAATATGGAGGTATATGGAGGAATATATATATGAAGGTATACATATGTGTGGCGATGTCTAACCTGCATCAGTCTCCCTAATGGCTGCATTTCCAAATCCAATCGATAGGACTTGTTAGCTAGAGCCTTCCTTCCAGTAACCATGTGTTTGGTAATTCTGTCTGGCAGGGGAAAGCTGAGAAGTTGCTCTGAGATAGCACCAGTAAGAGGAGAATAGGGGCAAATGTCTCCTTCCAAAAAAGCACATGGCAGGTCTCTACATCTGCAGTACGGTCAGAAATGAGCTACAGACATGCTAAAGTTACCATTAAGGTAGCCAGGATGGATGGTATCAGTTGTGCAGCTACCGCACAAAGAGGTCCTCGCACATGGCAAAACCTACCTGAGAAGATATGTGAATACTTGCCACAACCTGCCTTAAGGTCCGTGCTATTTTGGCTACACTGCTGGTGCTATGCAGCCTCAAGAGCTTACAGCTTTGTAAGCTATGGTCACACATTTGACTGTAATCCTCCTGTGGAGGTGGAACCAGCTCTTATCTTTACAAGGCAAAGAGAGGTTAAGTGTGCCAAGTCCCCAGTATTACGTGCCCTGTGGAGCAGTGAAGGCTCTGAGCACAGAACAAACCATGGTCTCAGGAAGAAGGACAAATACTTCTTTTTCACAGCAGGGAAGAAAGATAAGAAAATAATGAAGGGTCCTGCCAGCCATGGCAGCAGAAAGCTGGAAGAGGTAAAGAGAAACAGCAATTGTGTTAGCTATGAGATGTTCTTCTGTGGTCACTTCCAGGAGAGCTCAAAGACAGCATACCCACTCTGAGAGACAGCAGCTTCAGGAATGAGGAACCAACAGAGCGGGGCTTGTCCCAGGTCACTCGAGAAGTTCGTGGCAAAGCTCAGAATAGAAGCAAAGTCCAGAACACCAAGGCTGCGTGTTAACCACGAAGGCAGAGGACAAGAGTTGACGAGAGGAGGTCACAAGCGTCGAAAGGGACGAAAGCTGGACTGTCAGCAGAAATATGGAGAAAGAAGAACAAAGAAGAGGGAGGAGGAAGATGGGGGAAGGGAAGAAGAGCGAAGGGAACCGAGACACCGAAACAGTGATTGCCTAAGAGTCTGTGCATCAGCAGCAGTGCAGCACACTCACGCCAAGCCTGGCTGGGGAACCATCATCTCAGTATCTATCCGTGAAAAATCACAGCAAGACCTAACAGCTCACTTTGTCTCAGAAGAGCTTTCTGGATAAAAGGGATTTGAGGGTAAAGCCTCCATAATCCTTTGGGTTTGCCTTCTTTTAATACTATAAAGCACAAAAATAAACTTTCTAGTCAGGAAAAATATGGCTTTTGTTATGTTCTGAGTCACTTTTCCCCAGCAGCAAACAAAGTGGCTTTTCAATTCAAGTCCTGAACATTTCAGAATTAAATGTTTTGCAAAGTCCTAAAGTAAATCATAATTCTCCAACTCACACTTCTAACTAATGTAAACTCACTGAGGTCAGTAAAGAGACTGCATGTGACCAATCTCACCTGGCCTGACTTGGGTGGCATACCTGATAAATTAATCTCTGGTTGAAATCAATTCAGGATGATCCAGTCAGCTAAGCAGAAGCCTGGAATTTCATTACTAAGTTGCTGCTATTCTGCCTAACGGCTCCTCCTAGCACAGAGGTATAGTTACATGTTACCGACCTGATTCAAAACCCAGTGAAATTAATTTTGTGGTCCATTTTGGGAGTTCATTTAAGTGGACTTTGGCTTGACTCTGAATTTGCTAGCTTTAACTTCAAGACTCTTTCTTTTTTATTCCTTGTACAAAGTTCATACCAAGTATTTTTAGAAACATGGAAGAATCTCTCAGCTTCTCATATTCAAAGTACCTTAAAACACAGTGTTCAATTTTACTATCAGAATGCTTATCTTGCTTTATCATGCCCCACTCCCTGAATGGGAAGTGGATTTTACTTAGCTTTTTTCTTGCAGATCCAGCAAATCTCCTAAATCAATTTCACTGTTAAAATCCAATTCAGCACTCCTCTTCAGACAAGGGGACCAGTAAAAACTCTCAAGATTTTACTGTGATGGCACCAAAGCTGTATCAACCACATTTCAAACACAGACTAACAGAGAAAACCATCCAAACTCTACTCTGCCCACAAAAGCAGCAATGAAGACTGTACATGACAGAGCCACAGAACACTCAGTACCTAAGTCAAAGAAAAGAAAGCCTTCATGGGCACAACTTCACAACTCTAGGTGAGTAACTGCAGGAAAAATCCCAGACTACTACAAAGCACATAACGGTGCACATTCACAAGATCAAACCATGCATGCAATTGCCTAGGCTGAGAGGACAGCAGCAGTGAATATATGTGAAAATCAGGTCTGTACTTCATGCATAAGAACACCCTATATTTGCAGCAATATATCAGCAACCTCACTCTGCTCCCACTAAAGTCAATGTCAGTTTTGCTGCTGGCCTTTACGATTGCAGTGTCCAGCCGCATTATTAACTTTGCATTGATTTCCTCTTGCAGGGAACATACTTTTAATAAAAGAACCAATCAACCAGATTGCCAATAGCTGTCTACCTAAGAATAAGCAGGATATGTTCAAAGAAAGCTTTACTCTAACTTATATTCATTCCTAAAGGCTAAATCTGCTAGGCTCACAACAAAGAAACAGCATTGTTTTACTTATCAATGTCCTACTGTTCATCTAGAACATCTGCAATAGTTTTGCCTGCAGCACTACCCCATTCATTACAGCCCTCGATAGACTGTTCAATGGGCTTTTTTTTGGTACAAAATGTACAAAAGCATTTTACAAAGTGGACTTTGCCCTGATATGAATAATAAAAAAATAATTTAAAAGTGCATTTTGTTTCAGATTCTCCATTTTCCAAACTAACCTTTGGCACATGGAAACAAAATGGCAACAGCTTGAAACCTGCCAGCTCACTCCATGGCACGAAGCAAGACAGAGGGTTTCTGCAGAACACTGCACTTTTTGCTCGGTTGCCAAAGTGCATTGCCATCTACCAAAAATGCAGTTGATGAAAGACCAAAATGCAGCATGATCAAACAGCAAATATCCACACCCACCAAAAGGAGGCCACGTTGGTTTTGTGCAGAGGAACAGGTGGGATTTGTAAGTCCTAAACTTCCTCCCTCCCTCTAACATAAGAGCGGTGCTTACCATCATCCAGATATGCTTGGTCCAGATTCTGTTCCTGTTTAATAGTGACTCCAGCTGGTAACACTTCTTTCTGGTCGCTAACCGGTGGTCCATTTTTTGCTGCTCGCTGGCCTGAGGCTGTCTGCTGCTGAATCACAGTAGGATATGAACTTGGACTTAACCTTTGTGCTTGACTGACCTGGGGCTGGCTGGATCTTGCAACATTGGACGTAAAATTTTCACAGCACATGATGTGCTGAAACTCTTGGTGACTTCCACACCTTAGCTGCTGGTTGGTTGGAGAATAGTGAATCACTGGAGAAGACTGCTGGTTGCCTGGAGAGTGGTGGAGCACCGCTGAAGTCTGGCCTGGAGAACCAGCGTGCACCAGCACTGACCTATGGGCATCTGAAATAGCAACCGGTGTACCCATCAAATTGGACTGCTGGTAGCCCAGTTGGCTTGGGCTAAGGCTCTTGCTTCTTTGGTATATTACAGCGGCCGGATTCTGCTGATGGTATCGAGAATCAGGAGAAGAAAGGCTTGAGCGCAACTGCTGGCAAGGAGCCATAGTGGCCACAAGACAGGAAGGGGATTCGGTGACCATTGTATGCTGTGAATAGTAAGGCTGTGTTACTGTTCCCAGACCACTGTGTACTGTATTGCAGATTAAGGCTGGATCATAGTCATCAATGGGCTCTGTTTTGATTGATGGTACTAGAATAAAGCATGCAAAGGACATTATTCGTAACAAGCTGATGGGTAACAGACAGGTTTTCCTTGAAGTAATAAGAGATTTAAGCTGTTTACAAGATTGGATGTGCAAGCTCATATCTCACATGCATTAAGTTTAATAAATCATGTCTATGCAATCATCGCAGAGTTTCTCTTGAAAGCACTCTATACTAAGACGTTCTTTAAAATCTTTAATGATCTATTTAACCACAACTTTCTGAAAATCGAAAAAATCAATACTTTAGCTCATTCTGGAACACAAGCAAAATAAGAAGCCATAGATAGGTGTTTCTTGTAGTACTTCCATCTCAAAGGAAGACCGAGTAACTAGAAATCATATGACATATACAACTTCTCTTTTTCTGTCAAACATTTAACTAGTAACCAAAGGCACAGTTGAACTATTTTAGGGCTTTCTTTTTAGTTCCTTTGCTACATGGAACTTCCCCAGTACTGAGAGCTGAAGATCTTTCTGACACCACCATTTAAAAGACCATGATTTTAGTGAGAGTTGTGCGAATCTTGGTGTGCATAAATGATGGTCCTCTACAGATGAATTCTCACATTTCTAACGCCTTTTTTGTCAAATTTTCCCCAAAACTCAGTACAGAAATACCATACAATGGAAACCATATAACGGTCATGCAACTGGGTTATTTTTTGGAAGTATAAGGTTTCCTCCTCTGAAGCGCTCTGTTTTAGGGCTCATATTAAGATAGTATTGTGCTTCTCACTAGTATTCCATAACAGAACCATTTAGCAACTATACGAAACCTTCACACTGGTTCCTATACAGTTCACAAATTCATGGAGAGGACCAGAGATTTTCAGCCTGGAGGAGACTGAAATAAGAATCAGAATGAATGTTTGCCCATCCTTAGAAACCAGTCAAATGAAGACATCATTTTGAAGCTTGCAAAAAATCTGGTACTGTTATTTTATGCTCTCTGGTTTCCACAAACACAATACTCTGATTTTCTCACAATATTTTTCTCCCAGCCAAAGCTGAGAAATTCTGGGAATGTCATTAGTAATCCTATTGCATTTATTGTGACATGGCTCACCAATTCCCAAGAGGAAGAACATCAGAAAAGCATTTATATTTTTCTCAACCAGCCTCATTCTGAAGAACATATATTGCTCATCTGCTTCCATACCAAGCCCTTGTTACTTTCCCAGATCTGATGTTATCTTACTGTCGTACATGTCAGCTGGGGAAGGCAATGCTCATGGTTTTTACAGGGTCACATCGTGTCAGACTGAGTCTGCTCCCACTGAGGCTGTTGGCAAACTTCCACCAAGTGAATGGGGCAGCATCAGCCCATTGCCAAGATAACTGTCCCCTTAAATTTATGGGAAATTCCTGACCATAAATCGCATGCATCCTTTAAACCAAACAGTTGTTGAGTGCTTAGCTGCACTCAGCTGAACTAAATTATAAAATTTAGATCCTCAAATAATGGCAAGAAAATGACATAGCAGAAAATAAAATCTTGCTTATGAGAATTAGGCAACACTTTGCTCTGTCCTTGAGAATTACCTGGGTGATAGGTAAAATGCTGGGGTTGGCTTCTTTTTCTTTTCCCATTGATGACGTAAAAATTCACCTTCACAGCTGTGCGAATGTGCTTGTTACGGTACTCTGGTACTTCTACAAAAAGCATGCTCTGAAACAACGAAAGGTGACAATACAGAATTAGTAACTGGGGCTGACCGCATATTCTTGGGCACATCTCCCCTGTTACATGTCCAGGCAAAAAGGAAGAGAAATCTTCCTATTCACCCCTATAAAAAAGGGTATGAAAAGAAGAAAGGAAAAAAAGGGCAGATAGTGAAAGACTAGAAGATTTTTGGTACTAGGAAGCTGGTTTCTATATACTGTATTCTCTCTGGTACCTGATGTTGTCCTGAACTTGGAGAAAGACCTCTCAGCTACAAATAAAATACAGAGAATGGTGGTAAATGCGGCAGCACTGTTAATCACACCGTGCTTGACAAACAAGTAGGTATTGCAGAATTCCCTCTTTTTGTTAGAATAAACTTGATTATTCTATAGGCTTTTTACTTACACACAGCCGGATCCCGCTTCCATGGAAATTAACAGTGAGTCTCCCGTTCTCTTCCGCAAGGGCAGGCATCGCCCATGGCAATGCAAGTGCTAGCTCCTAAATGCACTGAACGACTACAGTAAGGTCCCATTAAGCAAAGTGAACAAAGAGGCTCATTCCCTTGAAAGACCAATGTTCATTTTAAATACTATAGTACAAATCCTGTCCTGCAAAGTACAGAACACCCAAGACTTCCACACAAGCAAAGGAAGTCAGGACTGGGCTGATACAATAGAGTCTTCTGCAAGAACACAAAATCTAGCAGTTATTCAATTTGCTGTGGGTTACTGCTAAATGAATAGTTTCTTTTTGCAACACATTTACTGCTGAAGCATTTGACATTTGTTCATCGCAGCAGTAAGATAGCTGCTCTTTCTGCTTTTGAGACGCTCTTTGAAAACTATCCCTTGAATACAACTTGCTGTCTGAGAAGCCCAAGGAGAGGACATCCAATGTTTTGCATACTTACAGGCTGGCTCTTATCTTTGTCCACGGTTGCCTCCATTTCCCAGATCTGCTGCCCATCTAGAAGAATACCACAATATTAACCTCACTGTATTTTTTTTTTAAATCATAAAGCTTGACTTAAAAAAAGGACACAAATTAAGGGCATCAAGTTAGTAAAGCTCTCAAAATGGACTTAATTTCAAGCACCTTCCCGGTCCTAACCAAAAGCAACAGCGTTTAATTTAAACACATCATTGAACACTTCTCTCGCCAGGAAAAGGCTTACATACATATTAAAATTAAATGTTTATGTAGAAATTAGCCAAACTGAGGAATGAAATATTTAGCACAGGTGCAACATCTGCTTTTTACCAGACTTGATTTCAGCCAGCTTGACTGATGGAGGGCATCAGAAGGTCAGATAACTTGTTAATGGTCCCATTTGGTCAGCAGCTCAGCAAACTTTCTGCTATTTTAAGCTAAGATCACATGGCTCCCCACCAGTGTGGTAAGTGATGGAATGGGCGAGGAGGTGGAGGAAGGACTAGCTAAAAATCCTGATCTCATATAGGGTGCACGGAGATGGAAGCAAGCAAACTGAGCCACTTCAGGGCTGATTTTTAGAGGTGCTGCACAGTGAAACTGGCAGATGCTCTGAATTCTCACGGGAGCGTAGGTTTTTCTAGAAGTAGTTCAACAGGGACAGATTCTTACCGTAACTGGGAAACCAGCTATATAGGGTGCTTGATTTCTGTTATGCATGCCCTCTTACTATTTATACTCGTTTCTTATATGTGCAACATGAAACCTCAGCACATGATATCTAGCAATACCTCTCCTCTGATCGAGGAACAAGCCCAACATCTCTGACAGCAGATCCGCACCTCTGCACTGCCACCACTGCAGGCTGTGAGGGAGAGTCACCGGCAGTCTGCCTAAAGTTACTATAAAGCACCAAATATTCACCGCACTCAGTGTAAATGCACCTCATTGCATGTGCAAGTCTCTACCTCTGAACCACTGGAAGTCCTTCTGCTCTTAATTACAGCCACACAGCTCGTCTCCATTCTGAGTTACACAAAATTGTATCTACAGAGGAAAATAAAATTTGATCCCCTTGTATGGAATACCATCAAAGTAACCCCCATGCTATAAGAGTACATCAGTGACAGTACACAGACTGGGTGCTTCATGTGGCTACAAATATTTCTTAAATCTACTGTCACCCACACTTCCCAGAAACATCTTTTAGCAATGTCTTCCTTATTACCTTTTTTTTTTTTTTAGATTTTAATCTCTACCCCTTTGATTTTTATATTCTGCTGAGCCTTTTAGCCAAGCAATTTGCAGAAGAAAAATACTGATGGGAAAAAAAATTGCCTCATACCTTTCTGAAAGCGTGATTTTAAAATGAATAGGGGACACATATCCAAACGAACCGACGTGACTTGAAATACTGCAGCCGCAAGGCTGGTGTTTGCTTTAGAGAGGGGGAGGCAGCTGCCGGGCACGTTTCTGTGGGGGTTCCCCAGGCTGCACGCCCAGGTCTGGGCAGGACAGGGGTGGAAGTCTCCTAAAAACAGTCCTTCTCACAGGACTTTTTATTTTTCCCAATTCTTGGAAATTCTGCAAGAGCTGCTTTTGTCCTCTGTTATTTAAGTACTTCTGCTTCTGGCAAAAAGGGAAATGAAAGAGTATTTTTAAATGCATTTTACATTTTCTCTGTTGTTTTCCTCTTTGTTCTCCGCTCCGCGCAGACAATGAGCTGACAGATGT